TGATATCCCGAGATAACACGTCCTTCGGGAACATCCCTCCTCACAAACAAATTTTATGTACAAGTCGACCAGACCCGGATGTACTAGACCAACAGAGTGGACAAATATGTATGGAGCATGACATTGGAGTGAAAATCGTAAGAATTCGATTGTCTTTTTATGAGCCTTTCCAGCCGCGAGGGTCTTGGGCTTGCAACTGAACTCCTTACTAAAAGGTAGGACTAGATCAGGATCCACATGAGCCTTGTAGAGTACCAGGACTTGATCGACTCGGGCGTCTTGTCGAATTGTAACACCTGGGCAACGGCTATGGATGGCGTCACATAACATCGCACGGGTAGTATGACGACTGAGCGGATCGAAATCAATATCGGGTTTGAGAGTGTCAGATGGTGGAACAGATGTTCTGATCAAAAATGGCTCAAGAAGTGGTCGCAAGTCGGTCATAAAGTCGTGAGTCAGCTTGGCCTTGTTATGAGTCGGACGCGATTTTGTTTCGGGATTGAAATGAGCCAAGACCCTGTAGTAATTTAAGTTCTTTATCCCTGAAGCCATTGATTCAAAGTCGATTTCAAGAAAAACATGGAGGTCTTTAGGTAATGTTTGGACTTTAGGCCACAATGGATGATTGAAAAGATTTGAGAAGTTTGCTTGAGGATTTTGACTCGTGCTGGGATCTTTAGCAGTTTGGGTTGAGTTTGGGGTAGGGCTAGTTGGTTCCTTCGTCTTCAGACTATGATCCGCAACCATCAAAGCCCCAGGAGACTTAAGCGACCCTTTGCGGCTTTTACTTTTCGTCATATCTGTGAGAAAGAATCCAGACGATTAGATCAACAGCTAATTATCAGAAAATTAACAAAGACAAACTATCTGAAGGTATTGATCTAGTATCATCACTGAATGTGAAAATTCACCTTTATAATCTTCGAAATTAGATATCTGATATAAAAAAGAACAGGTAGTGGCGGTTCATAAAAGACAGATGTATTTTTTGTGAGTCAGTGATTGCTTTAGTTCACGTACATTGTTCTTTTCTATGTTGTGGCGGGATCTATTGCTGAAATATCATCATACAGGGGATCATGAAAGTTAAACCACGTACATATTTTTCCTTTTGTTATGTCACAGTGCACATTTGAAAGGGTGAGTTGGGGTGTGATGGTCAAAGTGCAGAATCAATGAGTTGCCCGTTTTCGAGACTTAAAGTTATATCATGACAATACCTTCACGATCCCTAGCGCACGAGTTGGGAAATAATAAAGGAAGAAATTTATATCCATCTTCGAGAGAGCCGATTTATTAACATGACTTTGTGTAAATATAATATATATTATCGGATGTTCATAAAGAATTCCATGCATGCAAGTGGTGCATGAGTGGGGCAAGCAATGGGATTAGGAACGAGATTAGGAAAGGGTAAGAAGATAACTACAGATCAACACCAAGGCAAATTAACAATGCCCTTTCACCTCTGAAAACACCTACCCATCTCGTTTTTTGTTCTTATGATAATAAACCATGTCAACCTCGCTTGGGCCTAACTCACTTTGAGTGATTTGTCCTGTCTCCGTTTCGTTTAATTATCACCTATATTCAAGTTAGTCGATGATATTTCACTCGATTTCCAGTTTATCTTTTCTCTATTCTGACAATTCTTTTAGGAAAGTTGCCACAATGTTCCCAACTTTCATGATCTATGGTCAATCACGGGGAAGTGTCATGCCTGAGCTACGAGCCATGGCCTTCCAAACTCGAACTCCAACCTCGGAACTTTCACAACAGACTTCTCCAGAGCGCATCAGCTTGTTCAATCTGCGTTTTGAACTGCACCTTGATTCGGGATGCTACCATTTGGTCCCTCAGGCTCTTGAAAAACATGTAGAACGCTATCGATTTCTCAACACCCAAGAACTCGACTTGATAAAAGATCATCTTAGTGCTATCCAGGATCAGATTCATGATACTATTTCTTATCTCTGTGATGCTGAACGTGTAGTGGGATATGTAGAAATGGCATTGGGTTTGCCTGATCCCGAAGTTTCCGCCCATAATCATATACTCAAGGAGCAACTAAAGAAATCACGCGCGGAACGTAAAGAGTATATGCGCGCATTCAAACGTTACAACAGAGACGTGGCAAGACGTGGAGCAATTCTTTCTAGGGAGAAGTGAGTAAACATTTAATAAATCACAACGTATCATGATAAATGTCTTCACACAACTCACTTTACTTGTATTTTGTCACATCATCTATGATCATCTCACTTTCTTGAACCTAGCAAACGCACTTGCGATTTTGAGGATGCTGCAGTGTAGCTCGAACTAATCCTGAACCCACCTCACCGGTTTCCAAACCTGCCACACCACTAGCCTCCGATCTCGTTAGTCTAGTGATTCACTGAAATCTGAAATTCCACTGTTGTGACCTTGTGATATGGTGTGTGATATCGATGTATCGAATTTCCTTGTCTTACAGTCATACTTAGAAGTTTTTTGTTCAAATATGTGCATCAACGTGTATTGAGTTGGGACTGTACACATTGATGAATATGCAAGGGTCAAAAGTTGTCAAATGATTGATTGGCAATGTGTTGTTTGTGATTATCTGAGAGCAATTTTCTCTAGATTATATGTGTGCACAAAAGATCCTGTGCAAGATTAAGTAACTTTCCTTTTCGTATTTTTTTTCTGATCAAAGGAAGCCTTCATTATACATTTGGATTACTTAGATCTGACTTCAGTACAAGTACTCACTAGCTAGGTTTCATATCTTTTCTTATAAAATACTAGACATGATGTTTGAATCATCATCTTAAGCATTTCTAGTCAGTTATCATATATCTTGTCCTGTATAGCATTCTTTTGGTTTGTTCGTGGAGTCAACTGCAAATTTGGTAATCAAAATTTACTCTATATCTTAAGGTAAAATCCAGATGTACAAACATAGTAAAGTGAGAAAAGAAAAGTATGGACAAAACTTTTCTATGTCACGTGACTTTTCTAGTCTCATGAGAAAAGATGACATTTTTTGTAGTGAAAGTAATCACAGCAGTGATTCAGACCAATCAGACTCCAATACTAACACCGATGAGGAAGATCGTGAACAAGAAGACGAGCCAGAGAATTATCGAAATCGCAAGACTGCTTACCTGCTTGGTGATACTTACATGAAAAGTTTGACTAAGGACGTAAGTAATGCTCTCTTTCATCTCTCACTGTTCTCATCCCTTATCTGTTCTTATTGATTGTTTGCATGACTGACATAACTATTGCCTCATTAACCTATACAGATGGATACGGTGAATAAGAAACTCACCCGTTCCAGTGGACATCGTGTGGATTTCAATCGACGCCGAGCTCAAGCCAACATTCAACGGGAATTGGAGGAGTTACCGGCGCTGAAGGCCCTCTTGTCCGGCCACGGTATTCGTTGGGGTATCCAAGCTGAACGCTGGGAGCGAATGTGGGAGGCTCGTGAAGTAGGTCCTTTTTGTTTTACTTGCTTTGCTTTTGCGATGAGAGCTTGATGTTTCTTCATTTTTCAAATCTCTTCAGCTGATCGATCGGGTAATGAGAGACGACTTGACTGAAGTTCACTCGAAGAGACGTCATCCGAAGAAAAATGGAAAGAAGCACGGCTACTTCGAAGAGCTTGTATTCTTGGTGGCTGATTGGCAGGCGATGCGTGATATGTTAGACATCCTCACAGTAAGTAAAACAATCTTTTCAAAGTTGTATTACATTATTCTGATTGCTTTGAATCTACTTTTTAGCCATACAAGATACTGACTCGAGAAATGGAAGGTGACAAACCTACCGGCTGCATGGTGATAGCAAAGTACGTGGAACTCAAGTCCTCCATGGAAGACCGATTCGAGAACATGCACTTGAACGATCCACTTTACCCCATGGTTGATGTGATGATCGATAAGATTAAAAAATACCTGGAAGAAGCTCTCACATGCGACACCCTGGTTTTAGCTGCTGTCTTCCACCCTGGATTACGAGTCAGGTTTTTTTCTCATGTGTTTGGAGAGGATTCACTTAATCATCAACGGGCCCAAGATTTATTAGAAACAGTTTTCAAATTGCAACGTGATGCAACCAACACCCAAAATCAATCCGCCACTTCAGATACTCCAATCAAAGCTCCTGTCAAAACTTCTGGACCGGCTTTCCTCCATCTATACGACAAGGTAGTCGCATCAAGCAATGTCAATGAGCTCGACCGATATCTCCAAGGCATAGATCCGATGGTCTCCCCTGATGCAAACAACCCCGAACATGCTCTGGATTGGTGGAATGTGAGCTATGTCTCTTTCCATGTTATCTTTCATTTGTTTCCATTACTAACCTATGATCTCTTGAAAGACTCATGGATGTAAATATCCTGTCTTATCAATTTTGGCTTGTGACTACTTAGCAACACCAGCGGCATCTGCTGCTCCTGAGCGATCGTTCTCGATTGCTGGTCGTGTATGTTCAGCCGAACGAGGTGGATTGGTCCCTCGCATGATTGAGATGCTGGTTAGTGCACAGATATGGGTACTTGAAGGGATACCTTTGACTGGTGCCTTTGCTGAAGTTGGTAAGGTGCTTGAGTATGCAAAGAAGTTCCTCATCAAGAAAACTCGACGAAATCGACTATAACTTTATAGGTTTCTACCTCACCCGACCTTTCTTTTTTGTTTATCTTTGGTTCATTACACTTGTTTGAAATACCTTCATTTAAAAAGTTTTATTTAATTTTTTCTTCAATACACTCCTTGAGATTCTTGTTTTTTCAATTTGTTCACTTCCTTTAGAATTAACTCATATTGTTACAATTTCTTTACGGTCTTTACTACCTCACATCAATTTTGTTCGATTTTTTTCAATCTCTCATCCTAAAAAAATAAAAGCTTTTTTTTGCCTGCAACGCTCCGAAACGCTGCGAAACATCACTTCGCTTTTAGCTGCCGAAATTTTTGGGATCCCGTAGCCCGCTTCCGTTTCCGCTGTCAAGTTTGGCCCAACCTGTCCTCCGCAGCGCTTCCCAAATACGGTCTTGCAGCGCTGCGCAGCGCTGCGAGCCAGGCTTGCAGTTATGCAAACATAGTCAAATATCATCACATCTAGATTAAATTAGAAGCTTTGATCAAGCTTATAATTGTTGAGGAGATTCAAGAATGTTAGATAGGTCCAAAGAAAAACAAGTTCTACACGTACAACATTTCGCTCCTTATTAAAACGGAAAAGTACATGATTATTACAAATGGTTTTTGTCTCATTGATTGATAAGGAATCGATTAAAATCATTAAATTGAAGATTCATTGAAAGTTGAATTTAGAATTCGAAAATTAGTTAAGAAAGAAGTGAAAGGATTAATTTTGAGGAAACAAATGGAAAAAAAGTTCATTTCTTTTTACGTTGATGACAAGCTGAAGTTGCGGTTGGATCAAGTGAAGAATTATGATCACAATCACCAATTAATTTTGTCCATTCATCCGTTATACTTTCACTAAGTCTATAAGGAAAAAGATCAAATCATCAGAAAACAACACTCAAGATGAAGAGCTTACAGATTTCGAGGGATTGACTTACGGTGTAGTAACTGGATTATTTTTGTATCCTGGTATATGATTTTCAACTTTGCCATCGTCATCATCATCATCTTGATTGTCAACAGATGGAATTGACCCTAATGCACTTTTTAATATTGTGCTTAGACTATCTGATTTTGATTGGGCTGTTGTATACGGATCTTGCTCTGAGATTTCTTCTTTCTGTGATCCTATATTCCGAAGTAAGAATTGAGATTAGGTCGTAAGTTTTTAAGATAGTTTATCTATCATCTTGGTACATATAAGATTTATTGATTTACTTACGTTTTGAGTGTGATTCTTTTTTGTTCTCATGTTTTTCACTACAATCAGAAATCGGGATTTCAGAGAAAAGAAACTGATAAGTAAATTGTGGATTGAACGGAGTATCAAGCAGACTGAAAAAAACGTACGCTCCCATATTTTGAGGTACCACATGAACTTTGTCACCGTGCATTTCGAAAAACATTACCACGTGACCTGGAACATGATCCGCTAAGATCACAGGACTCAAGACTAACATGATTATAAAAACAAAATTGATCGAAGAGGTAGAAAGCATATTCTTTTGTGATGATTAGATGTTGAGGAACAGTTGTAGATGAAGGAGATTGGGTGAGAATTAGGAATAGTTTGGAGTATCAGGAGGTTTGTTATGATTGGTTTTGATTGGTCACGAGTCAAAAGATGATTGAGAATCTGGGTTGGATAAAGAAAGTCAAGAATTGGGAGAAGAGTCATCGTTATTTAAGCGACTCCAAAGGGATGAGCGATTGAAAGATGGCTATATGTAAAAGCTTCAACTTTGGTTTTGTTATACATAGATGGCCCACATCTTTCAGTCGGGTAGGCTTTATTGAATTACTTTCCATCGCCAGTGATACAATTTTTTTTCACTTTGAAGGCCACTCGATCCACAATGCTCATAGCTAGCCTGATTTTAATGGGCAGGTAAAGCTATCATAGCATCGAGACTGACTTGGTACCGGTCTATCCTTCCAAATCTTTGTCTGCCCTCCAAAGACCCTTACCCGCCACTCACTTCAAACTTCATTTGTATGCTAGCAATCTACTTGGTCTCGATTCTCACATCTCGAGATGTAAGAAGGCCTTCTATGACGTCAACCAATGATTTATCAAAACGTTCTCCATTCGATATGTATGCCTTAAAGCCAATTATATTCGTCAACTTTCGTGAAAGTGGATGGGAATCGGATCAGTTGAATTTCATCAGCCATCTGAAGTAACCGAATCTTACATCAAACGAATTGAATGATCTATAGAAGAATTCGGATTTTCAGTGTCGGAACGTCTCTGGCAATGGCATGAAGTGTAGGACAAAACAAAACAAATCCATTATGTTGAAGTTTTTTGAGAAAACACCTCGGAGAATGGTCTACCCCAAGCTTGTTTCTTGAAAGTGCGAAATTGCTTTATTGCATAACTACAGCTGTTTCAAGAAAGGTTGACAACTTTTTTTGGAGAAAGTTGTCTCCGCAGCGGTTAAAACCAGAGACAAAACTTGATTACAGGTTTATTCTTTTCTGTATTCTTCCAATTAGCAGATAGACAAAATCAAGTGAGGGTCAAAACCCGGGTTTTGCACATTGGCGAGATTTTAAAAAAATCAATCTTTGTTGAAACAGCTGTATATGAACAAATTATAAAGAAGGAAACTAGCTTACCAGGAAAAATAGATCATCTAGTCGGTTATAACGACCACTGGCCGCGTTCACTTAGCCCGGGTTTTCAGAAAGTGCACTCTGGGATCCACGGCACTTCTCTACACTTCTCTACATGTAGAGTATGTTTGATGATGTATCTCATTGGGACAATCCAAATCTAATATTCAAAGTACCCTCTACATATATCTTGGAACGATGCTCCAAATCCCTGCATGGGACTTGTACAATCTCGATGATACATTTCATTGGGTAACTCTGTATCTGAAAAGGTATCACTATATCTCCTGATGAGTACAAGGCAGTCAAGGCACTGAACAGTGTTCTTGAGGTGCACATCAAGATTCTTTCCCTCCAAGTAGGGAATATTGGCTTTGTATCCTTCTTTTTCAAGTGTAGATTTTCCTTTGGCATGATCATTTTGCACTTGGCATGCATACATATATGATAAGAAAAAGACACGACAAATAGGGAAGTTTGCTTGTAAAATCATGAACTACGGTCACCAGATAAAGTGTACACTGGTAAACTGAATGTGACATTGTTTTTGTGTTTTAATAAGATGTGCTAGAATTACTTGTGAGCTGATTTGTTTGGAATGAAATGGAACTGAGAACAAATATTGCCTTCAAATTTAGTGAGCTCAAGGGGAACACCAGACTCTGACAGGTCAAGAGCCATCTAAGATCACATTTTTTTCTGAAATATGAGCTTTAGTGGTTTCAAATTCAAATGGACAGATGACAAAGATAAAAGTTTATCTAAGTGGAGCAAGTGTTTAAAAACCAACTTAACTATCTCTTGAAGGTTGAACAGTTGGCCTAAAGTTTGAATCTGAAGCTGGCAGCTTGTAAGCATGAAGGGGGGACCCCAAAGTGGCGCCAGAAGTGGAGTGGAACCTGGAATTTTGTACAGCAGATCAGAGACTGCAAGTTCATGCGTGAAGCCAAGAGCCTGTGAGCCAGGCGTGAAGCTAAAAGTGTGTGGGCTGGACCTGCATGGGTGCAGGGTGCGCAGACACTGGGAGTTTGCAAGCTCAATGGGATGATTGCTTCAATGATGGTCAGGCTGTACTGGGGCTGTTGAATATAATTTTGGCTTATTTATTTACCCATCATTTTTGCAATGTATCAAAAAGATAAGAATGAATGAAACTTTTTACGAAAAGAGAAATTGAAAAGTCAAAAGGTTGAGAATCACATACCATGACATCATTTTGGATGAGATGGAATGATTTAAATTTGAGTACTGTGGTTTATATCAATCAATTTGTTTTCCTTGACTGAAAAATCACAGAAATTCACAGTGATGATGATAGAAGGGTCATGCAAGTTTTGAAGTCAGATAATGACATTATTGCCAACTTCCAATTACCTTTTTGAATGTTGGTGGTTTTGTTTTTGGTAGTCAAGGGTTGCGAATTGATTGATGGTCTTCAGATCACTGTAACTGTACTAATAAGCTAGCTTGGATGTTGCAAAGTCTGGCCGGTGATAAGGGCACCAGAACAAACCCTGCCTTGTCAGGGTTTTTGTAGGCACAGTCACAGTGGTAGGTAGATAAGTAGCAGTAGGCAGTGGTCTGGTTAACCTAATTTGTTGCCTAGGCATTGATCAAAGATAGTGATGCAAAAAAACTCCAGCTGAGGTCATGTTTGTTTGCTTTTTTTCTGCCTGGTCAATAGTCATGGATGGGGTAGGGAGCGCTGAAGTGCATTCATGGGGGTACCGGTGGCAGACTGTGTGCGGAATGAACCTAGTATGCACAAATCTCCCATGGAGCTAGACTGGCCAGCGACATTAGTAGCCAGGAGCTGGGTAGTTAGGCAATGGCATTGATGGAGCAGTCTGATGGGTGGAAAAGAAAATCCATACAGTGCTGAGTATCAGGACAGTATAGGTCAGTAGAGAGGTTTGTAAAGTAAATTGCACATAAAGAGGGGAAAAGAAAATATTAAGGCTGATTAGGGGAGACAGTCAGCAAGAACATTTCTTCAAGTATATAGATTCACAATCTAAGACCAAGACCAGTGTTTTGTTTCTTTCTTTTTGTCTTCATTGAAGAATTAAAAACTGTTTTGGTTTTCTTCTTCACCCCTTTTCCCTTTCACCTTTTTTGTTATCTCTCATCTCTCTAACATCAGCTCATGTTCTTTTGCATTCTTGACAATAGCTCTGTCTCTTTTCCAATCTCTCTTGCTCTTACTACAACATCTCTAACAACTCTATTTTATTATTATCGATTTTGAAATCCTATTTCTTCTCCCATTTGTAACATGTGATTTTGTGTGTGTGTGTCTGTTTTATTTGTCTTTACGCTTGTGTGTGTGATGAGAGAGTGTGTAACCATTTTTTTGCTAAAAAAATAAACAATCACATTTTCTGCATTCACCTACAACTTAAAACCATCTGATATCTTGAGCTTAACTAAGCCCCTCTCCCAAAACAACCAGTCCGCTCTCAAAGAGGGGCTTAGAGCTTATACCCAGACTTTGGCCTGAGACCAGAAGGATTTTCAAGCAATTTTGCTTGAGATCTTTTTTGAGGGCTCTAAATGTTGTAAAAGCTTGCAATAAATTTGGTATGGCTTCTTATAAGCCTTGTACACATACTTGGGCCACTTTTAGCACCATTTTACTTGAGCAAAGGGACAAATTTGAACTGTTGAGTCCTTGTAAATCTGTGTCATACTCAGTGTGTGGGCCTACATGTGTGCTGAACCCGTCAAAGTCACTTGGTATTGGAATCAAAAATCCTCATGAACTAGAAGTGGTGAAAGGCTAGAAATGATACAAGGAGAAGCCAAAGATCTTGAAGAAGCTCCACCAAGCTTACTGCAGGCTTTTACAATGTCCAAGCCCTCAAAAAGGCACTTCAAGCAAAATTGCTTGAAAATCCTGCTGGTATCAGGCCAAGCTTGGGGTAGAAGCCCTAAGCCCCTCTTCAAGATCAAAAATGTCCTTGGAAGGGGGGCTTAGTTAAGCTTACTGATATTCATTACATTGGCAATCCAGTCATCATAAGCACTGGGTACCCCAAAGTGACCTGCCTAAGCCTAAGCCAACCCTAATTGGGTTTGGCTTGGGTTGGCTTGGGTAGCTCTGGGTCCAGGTCAGAGCCTGGTGCATCTTTGACCTCCTGCTCTTGTTCTTGACACTGCAAGAATCATCAAGTGTGAACCCCAATGGAGCAGAGTTGTGGTGAATGGGTCCACGACTTTCTTCAATCACAGATCTTGTTTGCCATAGGTTTGCCAGCTTGCCTTGAGCTTTTACTCTGCCTTAAACCTTCTGTGTATTCCACTGTAAGCTTGTCAAAGCCCCCAAAAATTGTGATTGTCCGCATTTTGCAATATCACATCACCCTTCTAATTGGCCTACATACCACAGTTTTTAGCCTTTGCCTAAACTCAACTAAGTCCCTCACTGACTCTTGCACGCTTTGAGCGCAGCAAGGTGTTAAGATATGGTAATCTTACTTAAGTAGTCAAATATCAATTACCAAATTGGGATGGTGTTCTGGATGGATGTAAAGAAGGTAGTATGAGATGTGGCTTGGCTTAAAGAGGAAATGGTTGTGAGGCGAGATAGTGTGGATTGGACCAAAGGGGTTAGCTGAGAAAAGTGTGAATCAAGGGGTGTTGAAAATTTTCTTTTCGGGTCTCTTATTACTTTTGTAGTTCTCTTTCCCCCTCCTTTCTGATTCGTTTCGTGTCGAAAAGAATCAGTGAGTTTTCCTCTATTATCATCATCATCAATTGTTTCTCTCGTAGTTACTGATTTCTCTACCATACTAGATCTTAAATTTCTGTCTTTTTACGTGTTCCTTTGAACAACATCGTC